ACCCACTTTAGTACTCCAAAACGGGCCGTCCAAAATACATGTACGTGATGTCAGTGCCCTTATACAATGTAGGTCCTTGTGGCTAACCTGTGGTGCGTGGAGTGTTACACCACCGCAGACCACCAAAGTACCTGACATAATGACGCCCTGTTCTCTCTTTTGTACCCCAAGTTCAACACTTGTGGCAAAGGTGTCGGACGCATGAAAGGTGTTAGCTCTACCGAGCTTGAACATTTGACACCTCAATAATCCAATCGCAGACAGGCTTCTCTTTGTAACAGCGTCGGCTAGATGTCTGTGTATATCTGATAAAAATCCATTAGTTCCAAATCTCTGCACTATCCTTTCAAATGAGGACAAGATTTCTCGTTTACTGCTTAAGTAAGTAGTCTAATTGATATGTCTGTTAACACCTAATGTAAACAAAGCCGGGAGGTGTATAACTAGGGTAAATAAACCAAGTACACCTGTATTCATTCTTGTGATGTTTGGTAAGGTAGTTAATGGTCCCCTTGTGTAAGTATAAGAGCAGGTGAGTATTGCGCCAGGTATGAAGTGGGAAATTAACACTACCAGTCTTGTTTCAGCCATGAATACATCATTGTGTCTGAAGAGAGTTTTGAGTTGTTGATGAATGACTGTTTCTCAACTATAGACATTAAAAGGGTACTTTGTTGTGATAAAGATCCGTACAATTTGTAGTGGCAATCAAAGGCATGCTAATTTTGTTTAGATTCCTAAAAATTTCTATGTCGTAATTGGTAATGCCAATATTTGAGCTGCAATAACTGTAGAAGGCCATAGTTAAATTGTCAATTTGTTGTACATATTTACTCAGTCAATATTGTTATCATCATTCTAAGTTAATGTGCAATTATACATGATATGTGATACTCCATGGGTGAAAAATTCCACTAAGCACAAAGGTTACATGATTTACAGCAATATTTGATCAGTATTACAGTGCATAGTAACAAAATAACTGTCTATGTAGAATTACACGTCATCATGTATGATTACTAATTATGGCAATAAGTTTGTGCTTTAATTTGCCCATTTTTACTGCTGAAATATCATTTTGGCACCAAATCTGTTGGGTTAGTCAGCAGTGAGATGGTAACAGTTGCTATGTCTCTCAACATTGATGTGTAGTCTGTCCCACACTATGATACTGAAATCATAATTCCTGTCACAGTGTGATAGCAACAGGATGGGGTTATCACAATGAGTTCCAATGACCAGCTCTGTTACCTAAAGTTAGCAACATGCCGGTATGTATATTTTCATAGTACTGTTTCAGTTGGCAATCCTTCATCGTTTGACTTTTATCGTTTGACACAGGACCCTTCTGAGCCTGGCCTCCGTGCTGTGGAATTATGGGATACCGCTGCTGGTGTGCCGCTCCTACGGCCTGATTGGTTACATGCGGGTGGTGGTGAAGGAGCACACAGGTTTGTATCCCCACAAAAATTTGCATACCAGTAATAACCTAAACAAGAAAGGTAACATTTGTAAAGCAAATGCATATGTTTACCTTGAGTTCGCATATGGTCTGCTTTGTTAATTCTCCCTGAAACACATTCATATGTTGACAGGAGTCTAAATCCCTCCTGCTGTAAAATTGCAACTTGATGTAACCCAACCCTAGTTACATGTACCAAGGTGACAGACATCAGGTTCAGGTCATTGACCTTATTTATTTGGAACGGAAGAAGAAGAATTACTATTACTGATAGTAATTTTGGTGAGTTCAGCACGTATAAACCCCCATGTGACTGAGAACAGCAGATGATAATGAGTGAGCTTGATTGAACCATGACTTTGTAACCGGTACTTCAACTTATAGTGAAACATCAAGCTGACAACAAGACAGCCCGATGGCAGACTTTCCCCAGACTGGTTTGTGACCCTTAAAGTCCTGTGCACAGACAGAAATAGAAGCACTTAGTACGGCAGACACTGCAGACTGATCCACTCTTATTAATGGTTCAGAATCACGGCATATTCAACATAGATAAATAATGTAGGAATGGTAAAAATTGTCAGTAATGGATTCTTCACATTAATTTTAGGTATTATTAATAACTAATTAGTAAGTAGCAGATAACATGTATATGGATGGGAAGGACAGGCTATCAAAATTACTCGTCTGAGTCAAACACATTGTTAGCAGGCCTCTGGGGTACATGGTGGACGAACTGTGGTCAGCACAGGGACTACCATGTAATACGATTTATATGTAGGGTTCAGGTTGGCACCTCTGAGTTGTGCCAGTCCCATATCAGATCCAGACTATAGTTATTTATCCTGGACCTGTGCCGTGCATGTAGCAGTACTCGCACCGGGGGACATGGTCTTGAAAGAATTACTAACAGTGTTCAGGATAATTTCTGAATTACAATTTAATTTTGGACCTGTTTAACCTTATACTACATGTATGAATCCAAAATGAAATTGTCTATATCAAAGTGAAGATTGCTAGAGGTAACATTCACTATGATGCATATTTAGTATCATTTATGAACAGGCATTACTGAATTTGATTATGATAGGAGAGGCAGTCATATGCATTGACTGCACTGTGCACTTATCATAATCATTTGTAAATGTCTAATTTCAAGTGTAAGACATCTTTGGAAGATAGGTGTCACTTACCTGCAATATCTGTCATTCATGCACATGTAATTTGATTGTGAAACTATAATTTCAAGGGTTCGTCTTGGCTTGTGAATGTTGCCATTTTTGGCATGGAATACATAAATTATGCAAATTAGCCTGACATTTGCTGTTGCCGTCGGTGATGCAATGTGCATCAATGAAACACAGAGATCTGTTGGTGAAGAAAGTCATGAATCTGTCCGCTGGCAGGAAATGATAGGTCGTTGTGTGTCCCAGTGCGTGGGTTTCTGGCAGACGTCCCGACCGCCCCCTGCGTGTGAGGACCGGGGATTACGTGATGACTGACTTGCCAACAGGTTGACAAACGAGTAAATCAGTCTGCCCGGGTTCCCTAAATTTCTCTAACTGTCTCCGTAGGCTGATGAGTTTGGGGCTGTCCAGTCCAGGCAGAATGGCAACAATTCTCCTCATGTCAGGTTTAGGCGACCTCTTGAAGCTTCGGTCCATCAATTCAATTACTATAATGTATATAGGTGGTTCTTGTCTGCTTAATTTTTTGAAGATTAAAAATTTCTGGTACAACTATTATTGCTGTATCAATTGCAAATAATTTGGTACCAAAAAAGATTGCATTTTATTTGTAACTACCGTAACGGTTACTGTGTACATGTATATTGCAGTATCTTTTTTTGGTATCAGGTATTTTTTTAGTTTGTACATGATACTAACAACTTCCTGCCTGGGCGAATAGGGCTCATTACAAGTAACATAAAAAAGACAAACAAAGGAGAAAGAACTATATACAGTATGTGACTTAAGTCTAAATGGTACTCTAAATTCTAACTTAATTGTTGCGGTTGACTTCTTTTTCTGAAACTAGAGGAAGAAGATAATGAATTTTGATTTAAAGATTCTTCTACTATCAGAGTTCTGTGTTGTAGTCCTACAGCTGATGTGCCAAGACATAAGAATGCTGAGTCATTGTAAAAGTTGAAGGGAGTTTCGCAACAGCCATTTGGGTTGGGTGATTCCCAAATGGCTGTTGCGAAAGTTGAACTTTACAGTACAGGAAAGGCAGTCAAACTATTTTTGTCCCTGAACTTTGGCAAGAAGGTTGTTTTTTCCGCAGCTTCGGAAGGCTGGTCGCCAAAGTTAAATAGTTTTTAACGTTGACCTTGCAGTTTTTGTTCCAATGGGATTCCCATTAATGTGAACTAACGCGTGCTGAAATAGGTTCCACATGGTGGAAATGTGTGTTTATCTGGCAGTTGTACAGTATTATGGGTAACGAGCTTCTAGACTGTTCTCATGATGATCAATTTGTCAATGGCTGGATCTATAACCTTTGACACTTCAGACTGATAATGCCATTTGACTTTACTGGCCACACAGGGCTGTCTGTCCTTTCTGATTAAGAGATACTTACTAAGCTCAAGCAGCAGAACGTTCTCAAACCAGATACTAGTACCTCAATGAACTCAATGCACAGTAACTGTTGATGTTGTCTTCCGCTGGCTGTGACAGGTTAACATCATTTAATCCACCGGGGAAGTACATGTAGTAACTACCCAATAGCTCTCTTTAACAAGTGCAATGAACACAGTCACATGGACCATGGCTGAATGTCCTCACCTGTATGCATTTACATAATTACAGTATGATTTCCAGTAGCGTTTACTGTATTTGTTGAGTGACAACTGCCAGGATTTAAAATCACAACCCGTTGGTCCAGATGCACCGAGTCACACTATACGTGCTACTGACTATGGCCAGGACTACGTAGAGGTAGTACTCACTAGTAGTAGAACAAAGTTGGAAAACTTTTATATAATTAATGGATTTTTTATTATTTCTGGAGTTTGTATTTTACAACATGTACATACATTTGTACGTACAGGACATTACCTAATTCATCCGCATCAGTTTGAATTCTCCTAAACTTAAAGGGCTTGATATGTCAAACTTCCATCTGTTTATCTTCATTCTCTCTTAACTCTTTTTTATATATTTTGTTAAATATCCCATTTGTTTGACATTTTGTGTGTAACGTTATGTGTGTGTTACATTTTTTAATGATATGAATCTTTATTGCATGTTCTTGCCCAGATGGGCTAAATGCACAAGAGGATAACCCCCCTCCCCGGCCATCCTAAGCCCATGTGTTGCATGAATTAATGTTGTTTTTTTTTTTTCTGGCTAGTTACATGTAGTGCAGTGAGTGAATTTCACACCCAGACAACTGAAAATACAAGTAATGCTCAGACTCTCAAAATTGTTCACCATTAAATTTTATTGAATAAAACTCATGGTGTTCCATTTTCATACACCACAAAATCTTGTAATAGGTTATTTTGCCTCAATAAACATCCCCACCATGACAGTTATGATATGATGACTATAGTATTGGTGTATTACTAAAAAGCTTGCATTAAGTGGTATTAAAAAAAAAATTATGATTGTGCAATGATCGTTCTCATGAAAATGTCATGCTTTCTTTAGACTTTCACAATCTAACTGGCTTACTCTTTGGGAACCTTGACTAAACCACCCAAAAATTATTGAGCACGTAGTACATGACATTGTGTGAAAAAAAAGTTAAGAAAAAAAAAAAAGATAATCCGTAACCTATTAATGACATTTCAAGAATGCATTATATGCCTTTGACTTATAACGCATTTGGAAAGTGATATTTTTTAAAATACTGAATTACATCTAGCCTTTGTCAAAAATTGTAAATGCATGCTATATGAAGATGTAACTTACTCCAACCTATTTACAGTATTGAGTATGATTGACAGACATTACATAAGACTCATCACAGACAATGCTCCAAATCTCTTTCTTTCTCAAGTACTGCAAATCTGCAGTGACTTTTTGGTCGGCCATTAATTTTTTATGTAAGAGTATAATATAGACCAAGAAATGAAAACTATAATCTCTTTCAATGAATATGAAATCAATTTGTTTCTTCAAAAATAATGACCAAACGCATTAGTTGGTAGATTTCATGCATCGAAATTTCTTTGATCATCAAGTAATAAGACTTTGTCATCAGTTTGCTTTTGGTGTTAGATGCAATAGATTGAAAATCTTTATGACTGACAACACAAGCATAAGGCTCAGCAGATCCACCTTGAAATCCAACTGCACACGGGGTAACAGACCCTTGGGCAGCTAAACCAGCGACGGCGACGCCTGCCACCCCAAAAGCGCTTCACTCGGGTTGGCTGCTGCTCGTTCTCTTCTCCTTCCTTCTCCTGTTCTGCAGCGCGCTTCTTTCGACCGCAGATTGATTTGCAGACTGTTCTGCAGACGTAGCTCCTCACCAAATGGCAGATGACTCGCTTCTTACGCTCCTGTGGTTCACCTAATAAAAAATGATAAAACTTTATGTAAATGGAACAGTGTAACTTTAAAATTTTACATACTTCTGGTGCTGCCAAGTTTAGACTGCTTTACGATTACAGTTGTAGACAATAGCAGGAGAAAAGAACATACATCTAGCTTAGGGTTGATAGCTTGCTGGATTTGTTGAATACAATATTCAGGGTAACATATCAAGGGTATGGAAATATAGGTACCTTTTCAATTACCCAGCCTACAGTATTTTCTTCTGTAAGAGAATATGTCGCTTACCTTCCGTATTGCCACTGTCTCCTGCAACACTGGTGGGGTCCACTCCTGGGGTACCAGGCTCTTCTGCTGTCTTCACACCCCACTGTGTCTCCAGTGGACCACAGAACTCGTCCATTTTGTCGCTCAGTGAAGAGCGATTGAACGGCTCTCGGCTGTTGTCCACACTAAGGTACTCGCTGGGGCCTTGTTGGGCCACTTCCACCTCCCCATCCTGCAACAAAATAGCAAGCCAATGTGTTATTTGTTGTAAAAAAAACACTACCACTGACTAATAAATTAGATATTGTAGACTTTGTTCAAGAAAGCAAGTTGTGGATATGCACCTCTCCGTCTTCCATCCTTTGGGCCAGGCTGTCAACTTCTTCGATGTCCTGATCCTTCTCATAGTCAGTGATGTAGCACATCTTCTGCATTTCAAACTTGTAGGCGCTGAGACCCTATAAAAGGAAAGAGAATAAAAGCGTCCTGTACATTGTACCACAATGATAACATTATCCATGCTACTGAGATAAAGAGGAGGGAGGGGTAGAGTTAAGCAAACTGGCAGAATTAGAAATGCAATATTTGTGCTTACCATTAATTAAGTTACCTTATTTTAAGTTGATTGTACATAATTCAGCGATTACTTTATGTTGTATTGTTATGTTATTATCTTTATTGTGTTTGGGGATTGCCCCCCAGGGTGCATTGAAAACCGCCTTCAGAGTGATATGTTCTCAGGTTAAATAAATAAATAAGTAAACAAATAAACAATGTGTGTGCAAGAGAACATGATCATTAAGTAACAAAAAGAGGACAAAAGCTACAGAGTGTTGGGTAGAAATGTATTTGTGTGACAGTGACTTCACTCACTGTGTTGGTATCATGCATCAGTGCCGAAGTACCATCAGAGTCTCGCGTGTAGAAAGTCTCTGTCTTCGCCTTGACATCAACCTCTATCTTTTCATTAAGAATCACTTCATTGACCTTCCACAGACGATTACCCTAAGAAACAAAGGAAGGAAGTAATGGGGTTAGCTCTGAGAAAACATGCAACATGATGGTATTGAATATAAATTCTTTATTCACAGCCACTTGTTAAACAATAAGTGATATGCATTGATTTAAACAGTCAAGTGTTTGGGAATGGAATAACTTTCCTCCAATCATTCACCAACGTGAAGAAATTAAATTGTGGATGTATCAGAGTTTTCTTGGACATATATATTAGGAGGGACAATATGCATGTATGAGAAATTTTTAGATTTGCATATAATGGGAGCCATCAAAGAACAGAATATTGTATAACTTTTGATATTCCTCATTAATTTGAATATGCATAGTAAATGTTGTTGAATTTGGTGCCTAAAGCTTGATGCTGCTTTTAATATTAACTAAGTAAGACAATGGCTTTTTAATTGTTCTTACCGTGACTATGTTGGCGTCTTTGGACAGAAACACGCCCAGCATACTTGCCCCAATCACCACCACCAGTACTGCAGTTCCCACTGCAAGCCCCATGGTCAGGCGTTTCCGATTGGCAGCAACTTCCTGTAACAGAACATAGTCATCTCATTTCCTCCAGGAATTCTCGATCAAAGATAAAAAAACATCATTTATAGCCAGATTGACTACATATTGACATTTAATTTAATTTTGTGGTACATGTACAAAATTTTATTATAAGGCCATACCGTCTTAATTTTATGGATGACATCCGCGTGTGCATTGATTTTTGCCTGCTCTCTCTCTCTCTCTCTCTCAAAAAAAAAGATCACGTCCTCCGAGGCTCTGGCCTGGCTCTAGGCCTGGGTAGTCTATGGCAGTTGGTGACAATACGGAGCCGGGCACCCAGGCTACTGAAGCTCCACAGCTCCAGAACTCAGTACATACATACATACAGTGCCAATTCATAAATTCCGCAAAAAGCCGGCTCGTCGGATACGTCACTATGTACTGCCACAATTCACAATACTGCTTTGTATTCCTGTGGTTTAGTAGCATTTTTATTTTTGGCCGGAATTTTTTTTTATTCGCCCGCGCGCACTAGTTTAGGGGTCTTCGGAGGATGTCATCCATAAAATTAAGTCGGTGTGGTCTAATATAGGGCTGAAGCTTTGGAACCAAATCTTTGAGAGCAAGTGTAGCAATGCTTGATACGTGTACACATGTGATTCAATTTAATTTTGTAAATTTCACCTTGACAATCTCCACTTTGTCCGCATCATGATCTGTTGGCGGGCCCGCGTTCGGGGGGAGTGGTTTCTTGTCTTCCTTGGTCATTCCTGCAACGTCCTACATGTACAAGGAAAGATCGCATCAAGATTGAAGTCTCACTTTTTTTTTGCCAGCAAATACTCAGGCCCAAGCAGTTGGTTAGTAACTGTTGGACACTAAGTAAGGGGGAACAGTGAATCTTGAAGTTTACACAATGTACATGCTACTTGTTTTCCCCAAGGCAATGTTATGGTGACATGGTGAACTGCAGAATTGAGAGGTACTGGGTTCAACTTCCAATCGCTTCAGACACTCAGATAACTTGGGATAAAGGGAGTTATGGTCTTCTAAAGGTACATGTAGCTGCTCTGACATGTTATCTGTGTATTAATGTTTGCCTATTTCTACTCTTTAGGCCACACCAATTTAATTTGTAACAGTTGGTTCTCGGATTTTTTCAGGAAAAATATGAAGCGACAGGGCGAAAAAAATAAAAATAAAAACAGATCTAGGCATCCTATTATAGCCCCAAATGCTACGATAGGAGGTATGAAGTCAACACAAAAGGCTGGTTCAAAATTTAAACAATGAATTTTGAACTTCTAATGATACCACTGCATTGAAAGATGGAATAACTGTAACGACAGTAGGAAGAAAAGGACTGTTTTCAACTGTTCAGGGCAAAATATGAGCATTTTGCAGTTGATTCTGAAATTTTCTTTTTTTTGCAAATCAGGAAAAAATGAAGAGGCGAATCCGAGAACCAACAAATTAAATTGGTGTGGCCTTAAGCTGCTTTTAAAGCCTGGTAGAGGCTAACATATTGTACAATAGATTGACATAATGTAAGCAGACTCGTCTGTCGCACTGAGCACATTAAGCTATTAGTGTTACTGGAACATTCAAAGATGCCCGGAGGGCTTCAAGCATGAGTGGGTAACCATATACCTGGTGACACACATACCGAGCTTTAAAATATGTCTGGTGGTTTCTGTCATTAATTTTATAGCACAGAATCATTGGACCAAAAAATGCTTCCTTTTCCTTAAGACTTGCATTATAGGGTCAGAACAGACACATCACATGACACAAAGTGCATCCCCAATTCTTCCACAGACAAGTACGCATCGAATATGCCTGGAGATTATTTTCACCAAGTTTAATCTTTTATAGTATCAACTACATGACAATGACATATGCCAAACTTTTTTTCTGTACACATTCCATTCACAAACCAGGCTCAGGTTTTCAATCATTTTACTCAAAATCAAGACAAAACAAAATCCCCGCTAGGAAGCATCCATCTCAAAGCTGAAAAAGCTGAACAATAAAAGGAAATGATAACCTGTTGATATGATGATCAAGACGCAGTACTGTACTGCAGCTGAAGACTGGTGCTTGGGGACTAGCACAGCTTGGTTGGCTCGTCGGACGGTCAGTCGGTTGGTCGGACGGTTGGTCGGTTGGTCGGACGGTTGGTTGGTTGGTTGGTTGACGCAGAGCTCTGCTCGTTTTTCTGGCCCCCGCCGTCAGGATCTGACAGAACCAGCCACACGGCTGCGTATTTATTGGTATTCAGAACAATAGAGACCAGTGTCTGACAAGGAAACGATATTTTAGAAAAATAGAACAATTATATGCAGGTGTGGGGTGAAGGTTCATCCATACCTTTTGACAATGGACACCTGCATGTGTGGAATATTAATGAAAAGACTATACATGCCAACACCTAGCTTACATGGTAATCTCCAAGCAGATGTTGGTAGGCAAAATTATGCTGTTTTCCAGACCTTTTTTCTGTTTTTGTTTCCAATTTCTGTTACAATATTAATACTGCCTCCCAACATCTACCTGGAGATTACTACATTTTGTACACCGCGGGTTACCATGTGAATATTAGCACACCAACTGAATCATGAGTGTTTTGTTTGAAAAGTGTACTAGTATGCAAAAGTTGGACCCAAATTTAAAGAGACTCAGTCAGTGAATACTGAGACAATGCACATGCTTTCAAAATATTATGACAAAGAAAATATATTTCAGTATACAAATAAGGTTCAAATATGAAGTTGTCATCATCATGTGGAGTCTCCAACTTGGTGTCAATTGGTGTGAAGTTTGACAATGGTCAATTGGTGTGAAGTTCGAATGTCAGAACAACTGAATGCTTAGTTTTTGTCACTTTTACTGGTCAGCCTCATTTACACGCACTCACTCACTTGGTTAAATTTGCCTGAGAAGGGGTAAATGGATCCAGAACAAGAGAGAGCATTTCTACAGAGGCTTGCACTGGGACGAGTAGTTGTTACCTCCATCAAAATGGAGGTATTGTTTTTGGCGTGTCTGTCTGTCTGTCTGAGTGTGTGTTTGTGTTTCTGCACATTTGTAGTCAGCGTATTTCAGAATGCCTTTGTGGATTGTGATGAAATTTGGTATGTTGGTAGGACTTAGGAAGATAAAGGTCAAGGTCAAATATGGGCCTCCTGGTGGCTGACCTTGGTACTACAGCAGAACTTCTGTTTTTTTTATCTTTTGTCCTGAACATGCTATGGTCTTGACTCTTCGGTGACAGATAGCTTATCCTGTCAGGAATAAGTGGTGTGGGTTTGGTTCCCCTAGCAGCTTGTTCTGGAACTGCAAGGGACTTTCTGGTGAAATCTTCTATAGCCGATAAGTCCAGATAGGAACAACATATTTTCATCATTTCTGGTATGTAGGTAGCTGAAAGAGAGATGTACATAATCAAATGCAAATTATGCAAATGAAGACTTAATTTGCGTTATTAAAGTCAGGAAATTCTGTAATTGCAGTGTTTTACATAATTATAGTACTTTGCATACATGTAATGCATGTAATATACGGCAAGTGGAACATCAACAGATACCAATTATGCAAATAATGACCTAATTTGCATAATTAATGTGAAAATGCTGTGATTTCTTAATGGTGAACCCCGTGAATGATGGGAATTTTATACCTTGTGACGTGAAGTAAAAAAAAGTAAAGGTTAACATCACTATGTGTATATTATGTTAATATAGAGGTCATTTGCATAATTAATTAGGACATGTTGACTTGAAATATTGCCAAAAGATAGGAATTTCACGAGCAAAATATTGTAATTTGAGTTTACAAAAGAAACCATGAATTTAACTAGATTAACAAACCTTAAATTTAACTGATTTTCCATAATCAAAGACAAATCCCCCCCAAAAAAACATTTACATATTAAAAACTCATGGAGGTATGGAATCTCCAAATTCTTGTTACATTTTCTCTTTGAGAGTAATTTGTGACTAAATAAAAATGTGTGTATTTTGGCATTCAGGACAGTAGAGACCAGTGTCTGACAAGGAAACGATATTTTAGAAAAATAGAACAATTATTATGCAGGTGTGGGGTGATCATGAAGGTGAAGGTGATCAGAGTGCCCTGAGGTTCATCCGTACTCTTGTCTTTGCAGCTGAGGGGATTTCTGTGTGCTCACATTACCAAGAAAAGGAAACGGACATGTTAAAAAATAGAAGAATTAAAGGTGGTTGAACCTTTTGACAATGGACGCCTGCGCAATGAGAAGACTATGCCAACACCTAGCTTATCAGGCTATCTCCAAGCAGATATTGGAAGGCAAAATTATGCCATTTGCTAATAACTGCCAATTTTAGCAGCTACAGGCGCATATTGACTGAGCATAAATCTCTGGGTCCTGAGACTTATCCAGGGCACCTTGCCATCTTTTTGGATACAAAATGTACTTTTGCCATTTTCTACCCAAAAATTGATATATTCAAAATTTAGTGGTTTTGGTATTGTCAGGTTGGCGAGGGAGGCAAAAGTTTTCTTTTGGCCAAATGAAAGATTTGTTTCATGGCAATATCAAGTATTTTGCCTTGCCTTTTCCTATTATTCAAATCAAGATTGAAGACATGAAAAGCATTGAAAATGTAGGTCACTGACTCAGTTGAATTGCCCCAGCGATCAAGCACCCTGAGGTCCTGGCTGTTTGGGGATTTCTGTGCGCCCACATTACCAAGAAAAGGAAGCAGACATCATCAAAAACACTATTGTAACAATTACCGGGAAAGGTGATTGAACCCTAAATGAATGCAGGTGCACTGGGCAGACTGAGCTGTCCTTATTTTGATGCTGAGTCAGGATCAAATGAGGGTTCTTAAATGTTTGCACTCAGACTAGCACTGGAAAACCTAGAAATTGTCTGTAGATCATAGTAAAATGGTTTGAATGATGATGATGACGATCAATGCTTTACAAAAGTTTCTGTGAACAAACAATGCAATTTGTGCAATGAGGTCACAAGAATTAGGCTATTACAATAAGTGATGTCAGAAACCATAAATTTCACTATCATGGAAGCAGATGTATAACTCCAGTAGCAGCTGAATTATCTCTCAATAATTGAGCAGCTTCTGGGCCATATGCAGAGTACTAAGAAATACATTTTGTACTATGTTACAGTATTGTGTGCCTGTAATGGGAAGAGTGACTAACAATAATATTCTCAATACATTACACAACTAGAGCTACATGTATACCTTAAACTGACATACCGACCTAACCAAGATACAATAATGTATTAACAGCATGCAATTTGGCTGTACCAATTCATTGATGATTGATTGATTGACTGATTCATGTCTTCAAAAAAGTCTGTTATCTGTTGTATGTGCCTTCCAGTGATTGAGTCCCACCCGGACAATGCACACTCTGATCTGAGACTGGACCGACCCTTTCCAGCCCTGACTGCTTACGTGGATGCCATAGACATGGACTCTCTCAGCAAGAAGGTGAGTGGAGACCACTGGACATCTACACTCCACACTGGTAACCAACCCAGATGATTGTATTATGCAATGCTATTATTGCAGCCTACTTACTGAAGCAAAACAAGAAGAGCATAAAAAAAAGCTGGCCCGGCCTTCAGAAAAAAAGAACTAGATGAAGGCACTGCAAAGTTGGAAGAGCTTTTAAAAAAGCTGGCATTTCGGCATTGTCGAAAAGATTATTTAAAAAGTACCGACAGCGGGATTCGAACTGGCGAATTTAGCTTGCCAAGTCATGCAAGACCAAAAAAAAATGCCGTTGTATGCCTCAGACAGTCTGTGTGTTGCACAAACTATGGGAAGTTGGCAGCATTTCTTCCTATGTACATTATCAGCTAATAAATACATTTGGGTGTGCCTGACTCTGGATTGATCTCTGACCTTTCTCAGGATCACAGCCACACCCCCTTCCCAGTCATCCTGATGAAGAACTTGATCCAGTGGAGGAAAGAGGTAAGCAGAAATGATGAATATGAACATAATC